ATTCACACATCCTGGCTGCGTCTCAATTTAAACCTTTGAACTAGCTTCAGAGTGGCCTGCCAGAGATTAATTTAATTGGTGATTCCTGGACACATGGAAGGGTCCGGTACAATTTGGTGTAGAATCTCCTAAAACCAGAGGTTCAAGGAAGGGGAAATCAAATGACTTGGACAAGAATGCAATTCACAACTCTCAGGTTACAGTAATAAAATATGTGCTACTGGAGATGGGGGAGCTCTTACCTTTCCTTTGGGAATGTTAAGGTACGTTTACACTTTATTGCTATTTTAGGATACTTCCAGTATCCCTAAATAGCTATTTCGTGTCTTTTTGAAACAAGCCCATTATTTCAAAATAAAACAGGCTCACTATTCCAACGTCCCTGTAAACCTTGTTCCGTGAGGATTAAGGGACGTTTTGAAATAGCAATTTTTCAAAATTAACTCGAAATAAGCTACGCAATTTGCATAACTCAAATTGTGTAGCTTATTTGGAGCTCAGGGTGCAGTGTAGATGTACCCTTAATGAATAGAAGGCTCAGAAACGGGTGAGTAGGGCAGCTGGCTGCATTTTTGCAGGGGTGAGTAGGGCAACTGCATTCGGGCCAGAGTTTAACCGGTTAGACAAACTGTTTAACTGGCTGACGATTGTAGGCGGCTTTTACATCCCCCTGCTTTCCCCAGAACATAGTCATTGTTTTGACCTGCGCTCGCAGGCAGGCAGATGGTGTCTAAAAACAAATGGCTCCTGGTGGCTAATAGTGGGGAAGACGTTTTGCTGATTTTGTTGATAGAACTAAAGAGTTGGGATTACTGAATGGCCTCTAAAGCCTCAGAAGGGCAGGGGAGTAAGGCTCCAGTTTCGTCTCCACCTAAAGATGAGGCTGACACTGGTGAGGGCTGTGACAGAGGCTCAGTTCCTTGAGCGTGGCTGTGAAGCCGACCTGAGCCCCCATGGGGACGTGGCTCAGTCGCTGACAGAATAAAATTTGTGAGTGGAGACTAGCTTCACCCCCAGGGTGAGATCCCCGCTCCTTTCCTGGCTCCCTAGCCCTGCCTCGTCCCTTTTGTGGGATGCAGGGGTCCTGAAAGGCCCGTATCTGGGGGATTCCCTGGCACAGGTGCTGCAGATTATTTCTATAAGGTGGGTGTTCCCTTTGCATGTGTATAACCCCCCCAATTCCAGCCAAAGTGGCGTGTTGAAGAAGAGGGGTGTGTGGGGAATCTGCCCAGAGGTGGCCATCATAACATAGGCCTTTCAGCTGGCAAAATACACCAGAGGCCTGTCCGGCCTTGAGCCAGCTTAAAACGCTGGTTAGCCCTCTCCTCTAGGGCCGCGTGGTCTGTGTGGTGAGCTGCAGAGGTCTGGGCAGCATGTCTGTGCTGTTAGAAATGGGCCTGACCTGTGAAAAGGGAGTCTCTGAAGGAAAGGAAATCAGTGTTCTCTGACCTGCTGAGATCTGTGGCTCAGGCTGGCCTTTGTTCAGTGCACTGGGTTACAATGCCCATCCGCTGTTTGTTTTCACTCCGCAGAACAGCTTGTTCTTACAAATACATCTCCCAGCCATGCGCTGGCTTGGCTCCTGCAGTGTAAGTCTGCTGCCCAATCAAGCTAAAATGTAGACACCCATGTTTTATACAGAAATAGTTCTGTTTCTTGCTTGGGTCGTTCAGGACCAAATTCTGCCCCCTTGCTTTTATTGTTCTGCTCTTCTTTATGCATTGCTTTAACTTCCCACGCGGCCTGTACATCTCTTTATCCTTCATAGTCACACATGCAAGGTGGATCCGAGCAGCAGCTAAACTGACGAGAATGTAATGGTGCATATTTCATCTAGAAATCATGGTTCGATGTTCTCAAACTCAGGGCTTCCTCACTTCTGGTATGTGGGACGTTTTGGGAATAAAATGCCCTCAGGTTGCAGCAGGTGGTACTTTGTGTGTATTTCTTAGAAGGAAACAGGGCTGCGCAGTAAATACATCATTCTATTTCAGGGCATAAGCCAACAACCACTGCCTATTTGGGGGGGGTCAGAAGGAAACTTTCCCTCAGGGCAGGTTATCTGGTAATTGCCCACTGCAGTGTGTGTTGTGCCTTCCTCTGGAGCAGCTGGGGCTGACAGCTTTTGGGGATGGGGTCCTGGACTACACAAATCCTGGTCTGATCCTGTGTAGCTATTCCATTTTTTTATAATGGATGGGGGCTGGGCCCCAGCTGAGGATACAACACTGTGTAAAAACAAACTGCACTGTCATCAAGAGAAAATGTTGCTGTGGCATGTGAGTTTCTTTTGGTTACTCTTGCTTTTATCTCATGGGGCCCTGAGGCTTAATTAGTCTATAAAAGAGATTTGTCCTCCAAAGCTGCAAAGAACTGTGATGATTGGCCATCTCTCTCCTCCAATTAGGCAGTTTGCTTCCTTAATGTCCCTCTGCCCTGCCTCATTGCAGCTGTTGGTGCTCTCCCTGTAGTGGTGTGGAAAGAAATTAGTTGAGCTATAGCACCATGGGGGAGAAGGTTTCTTGCTCTTCTGCTGCCTTTAACACCAGTCGCTCCAGCTGTGCTCTTTAAGTGCAGTGTGGCTAATGATTAGAGCACCAAACTGGTATCTGGGACACCTGTCTTCTCCCCCCAACTGGTGGACTGTCTGCCATTCCCCTCTTTTGCTTGCAGTAAAACAAGGCTCATGATAATGACTTCTTTTGTAGAGTAAAACTTCTGTGGGAGCTAGGGCCAGTCCCGTAAAAACTGGGCTTTGCTGTATCATGAACACCTCACATCCTAACTCCCCTAATTTTCCTGTGATAACCCCTCCCCCCAAATCTCTGACTTTAAACCCCTTCCCCAAAATTAACATTTTTCCATGATTAAAATGAAACAGCGAACTTTGTCCCTAGTCACAATATATCTTGGTATTCGTTGACCACCATGTTTTATTGTTAGATTTACAGGTTTTGAACTGGTAGCGCGAGCCCCGTTCTCCTGATGATCTGAGTTTTTGATTGTTTGAGCTGGCCTTGATCCTGGTTAGGTGGGGTCGTGGAGGCTCCGCTGCAAAATGCTTGTTTTTTCAGAACACGTGAAAATGAAGAGTTTTCTGTAAAAATGTGAATGTTGTTTGCCACAGAAAAACACGGCTTTCTGGGATCCCTTATGCTGATCACTAGCAGAATGCTCACAGCCAGCAGCATGTGTTTCTACGGGTGGTGCACATCTTACATGCCTCAGTGCACAGAATAAAACTTATTCCCCACACAGAAAAATGAGAGAACTCTGACATGGAGGCCCTGGGAGTTTTTACCCAGTAAACACAATGTTTTAGGGCCAGATCTGCAGCTGCCCTTGTGGGAGTCTTTTTAAAGCAGCATTGATATCTTATCCAAAGCCTGACTAAATTGGCTGATTTCACACCAGGCCGAAGCAGGCTTTTTTCTCACTAGGTGTCTTCAGCAAGCCGATACCTGCCCTGAATTCTGACTTTGAGAGAGACAAACTCCACTCTTGGATATATTTGCTTTTCACCACCAACTCTCTCTCAAACTTTTACCCCAAAACTTGATTACTAATATCCAAACAGATAAACCAAAGAAAAGATCTGTTTGATACATTGCTCATCCGTTTCCTTGGAAATCTGTAGTCACAAGTTGTTGGGGCAGACCCTCCTTGATGGAAGCCAGAGTTATGCTGATTTACAGTAGAGCTGTCGATTCACAGTGGTGGAACATGTAACCCTGCAAATCCAAGGCCTGTGTGGGTGCATCTCAAAGCACAGTGTGGCTGTTTACGCAATAGTTTTAGCTGTCTTTGGGCTTTCATTTCTGTAATCTGCTTTCTCCAAAGCCCTGTATTTTTGGGAACGCAAATGTGTTCTGTGACAGCTGTTCTAGTTGAAGACAGAGATCTCTTTGAGAAGCATTGTCACTCTCAGGTTACTTAAAGAGCACTGATTGTTTTTCCTCTGTGTTGGTTTTAGACCGCACAAACTGGTGCCAAACTGTAACTATCTTGTAAGTTACTTTTAAAATTAATTTAAGGCTGATTTCTACCAGGGTGCAGACTCTTGGCGAAAACAAAGAATCTAACACAAGCAAACTGTGGGGGAGGGGCAAAACATTTTTGTGAGTCACTTAAATCGAGGTGTGTGAATTTGAATAGTACAACTAAGTATCTCACCTCTGCACTTTTAATTTGTTTGGGCTGTGTACTGACTAGCGTTTATTCAGGTGCTAGCTCAGTATTAAGCAAACCTTTAAAGTGTGCAGGTAGTTCTCATGGTCCCTTGAGAACATCACCAACTCCCGCTATAATCTGATTACTGATTTTTTTTTTTCCAGGTTGTTAATCCAGTCCTTGTTTGTGTGTCCTTTTGTGTAAAATTGTTTATTTGCAGTGTACTGTTCAACCACTAGAGGTCTCTGTTCTGCATAACGTTCAGGATAAAGCACAGCCCTTGGTAAACAGACTGACCAAGCTGGAGCTAGAATTGCTGTTGGAAACCGGAAAAACTTAAACAACAAATAGACTAGTACTAGCACCTTAAAGACTAACAAAACATGTAGATGGTATCTGAAACAAAAAACAGGACTAACAAGATGGTTTATTAGGTGATGAGCTTTCGTGGGTCTGGCCCATGAAAGCTCATCACCTAATAAACCATCTTGTTAGTCCTGTTTTTTGTTTCAGATACCATCTACATGTTTTGTTAGTCTTTAAGGTGCTAGTACTAGTCTATTTGTTGTTTAAGTAGATGGTATCGTGAGCTTTCCTGAGCATAACCCACTTCTTCAGATGACAGCTGTTGGAAACCGGTATGCTTTATTTGTAGAACAGGACTGTTTTTTTTAATTGGGCTTCATCTACTGCAGAAGTACTGTGGCATCATGTAGTATATTCTTGGGTGTGATGAATGAAATGTGCTGTCCATGAAACCAGCCGTTAAATTTGAGAAGATGGATCAGATCCCTGTAGCTAATGCGTTTCCCTCTCCTTTCACCCTACAGTTTCCTTTCTCTCCAGGGAGGATGATACTGTTTCAGGTGTTTCTGAACTGGCCCCAGTCTCATGTCCATGTGCCTCTCTGCAGTCTGAGTTACCGCTATTCTGCCACCTCTTGTCTCCCATTGGCAATGGTCAGACATGCTCTGTGAGTAGATCGGGTTTCTTATGTAGCATCCATTGTTTCCCACATCCATTCAGGATGCTGTTTTTCACTCTGGGTAAACAAATGGGGTTGCTTTTCCTGTTCTATTTTAACCTCTTTTGAAGTCCCACACGCACAATTGTTTACAAGCCCACCTGTGAAACTGGTTTCCCCCACTGGCTTCCCCCGCTCCCAGGCTGTCGGCTTTTTGTTCTTGCACGTTGATTGTTCTGGCTGGAGTTCTAAAACCTGATTCTAGAGTGGTTTGCTTTCATTGGTGTTTAGAAACATCGAGCTGATCTCAGTTTCACAACATTGCCATTCACAAACCTTTGGAGTTCGTGGGCCAAGTCCCCTGCCCCAAACATGACATGGGCTTAAGGATTGATTCTTAAATGGGTTTGCCGCCTTTATCGTGTCTTTTGGGTGCCAGTGGAACACATTTTTGGGCTTTTTCCCGCTCCATGCTATTACGATGGCTAGAAATTTGTTGACAAAAGCAGAGATTCCCATGTGCTTACGTATGTTGTCTAGAAGCTGGGAAACAAATGAATTGACATTGTGAAATTTGATCTAAGCAGAAGGGTTATTAATGAGTTATTTATATTGAATAGGAGCAACTGAATGAAACTGATCTGCAAGGCTGCTTACAGACTGTGACTGGAGGGATTTGGGGTTTTGTGCAAGTCTTTTAACCCTGAGATCACAGCGAGGTACTTTGCATTGAGGAAGGGTGTTAGACTCAAGACAGAAGCTGCATTTGACTTGATGTGGCATGTGTGAGCTTTAAATTCACACTCCCATTCAGAAGAATTTACATGCCCATATTCACAGCTTAAACTTTTTTTTCTAGGAAGCATTTTTTTGGGAGATGCAAGAATGTGCATGAAGGTTCTAACTTTGGGAAGCCTGCAACTGCTGGACTGTGGAAGATATAGCTAACACGTTCCCCTAATGAGGAAACGTGTCACTGTTTCAGACCTCCATGTATTAACAGGACATTTTATCTGGGTGCTAAAGAATGGCCCCTTTATTTTTGTTGCTTATTCGTCTCTGGGGGGCAAAGCAGTAGCTTGTAAGTCAGGGGTCAGCAACGTTTCCGAAGTGGCATGCCAAGATTAAACTTATTCACTTCTATTTATGGGTCAGCATGCTGGTGATACTTTGTCAAGTCAATAATAGTCCTACTCACAGAAGCTTCATTAATAAATAAATTAAGATGCAGAACTTACCGCTTAGTGTGATCCTTGGCCTTGCTTTTTTTCCTTGCTGAGTTCTCTGATCTTGGCCTCGTAGTTTGATGCTTTAAGCAGAACACAAGCACTTATTCACTTCTATTTATGGGTCAGCATGCTGGTGATACTTTGTCAAGTCAATAATAGTCCTACTCACAGAAGCTTCATTAATAAATAAATTAAGATGCAGAACTTACCGCTTAGTGTGATCCTTGGCCTTGCTTTTTTTCCTTGCTGAGTTCTCTGATCTTGGCCTCGTAGTTTGATGCTTTAAGCAGAACACAAGCCACTGAGTCAAAGTTCAGCAACCTACGGCATGCCAGAGCAGCCGCCCCCTGGCAGCAACCCACCTGCCCACCACGTATTCTTGGCCCAAAATGCCGGCAGCAGCTGCCCCACACTGCATCCTCAGCCCCCATTGCAGCTGGCCTCCGATGCGGCCCTGGCCGAGCTACCATCCCCATCACAGCCCTGGACTGTTCTCCTCCCCCCCAGTGGAAGCAGCCGTGACAGTCGCCTTCCAGGAGCAGGCAGAAAGGGAGTGCAGGGGCAGAGGTGGGCGGGCTTAGATTAGAATTTTTTGTGCATTGCTGCGTAGGCGCACACGTTAAGGGAACAGTGGTGCAGGCTTCTAGGTGCCCTGGGGAGGAGGGGTGGGACTGAGCTCCTGCCTTGCGTGCCAGTGAAAATCGGCTCTGGCAAGCGTGCAGTAGGTTGCCGACCCCTGCTGTAAGTGATCACCTGAAGGCAATGGCTGCCAACCTTTCCAAACTCCAGTACCCCATTCAAGAGTTTGATTTGTCTTGTGTACCTCTAAGTTTCACCTCACTTCAGCTACTTACTTACAAAATCAGACACAATACACGGGTGTTACAGCACCCTCTACTGAGAAATTGCTGACTTCCTTTTACCATGTAACCAAAATACATCAATTGGAATATAAATGTTGTAGTTGTATTAAAGCAAGATACACAAGTCAGTGTCTGAAATTTGAGTTACTACTGACTTTGCTAGTGTTTTTTATGTTGCCTGTTGTAAACTAGGCAGAATGCTAGATGAGTTGATGCACCTGCTAGAAGAGCTCTGTGTACCCCACTGGGTATGTTGAGTCATTGTCCTAAGGTGCTAGTATTTATGTGGCCCTTTATCCGTAGCTCTCCAAAGCACTTTACAAAGGAAGTCAGTATCTTCCCCGTTTTATAGATGGGGAAACAGAGGCATGATGACTTAGCAAAGTGATTGACCCCGTCTCCTGATTCCAATCCAGTGCTGTGGCCTCTACACCAAACTTCTCCCTCCTTCCTTTTTTCATCAGCATCTGCTACACAGAGGTAAAAATGCTCTATACAGCTATAATTATAGCCCGTGGGGGAAGGGATCCTTTCCTGAATTGAAAACTGGCTTCAGCTCTTGTTGAGGAAAAAATGATAGCTGTATTGTCTCCCTCCCTGTACTTAAATCAGGAGCAGTGTCTTTGAGTAACCGTAACAAAATACAGGACTATGTAGCACTTTAAAGACTAACAAGATGGTTTATTAGATGATGAGCTTTCGTGGGCCAGACCCACTTCCTCAGATCAAGTAGTGGAAGAAAATAGTCACAGCCATATATGTCAAAGGATACAATTAAAAAAAAAAAAGTGAACACATATGAAAAGGACAAATCACATTTCAGAACAGAAGGGGGATGCGGGGGTGGAGGGGAAGGAAGGTAAATGTCTGTGAGCTAATGATACTAGAGGTGGGGAAAGGTAAATGTCTGTGAGCTAATGGTATTAGAGGTGATAATTGGGGAAGCTATCTTTGTAATGGGTAAGGTAGTTATTGTCTTTGTTGAGACCGACACGTAGAGTGTCGAATTTTAGCATGAATGACAATTCAGAGGATTCCCTTTCAAGTGCAGATTTAAAAGGCTTTTGGAGCAGGATGCAGGTAATTAAATCGTTGAGACAGTGTCCTTTCTGGTTGAAATGGCAAGAAACTGCTTTTTCTTTGTGATCCTGTCTAATATCTGTTTTGTGGGCATTGATTTTTTGGCGAAGTGTCTGAGATGTTTGTCCAATGTACATAGCAGACGGACACTTTTGGCACATGATAGCATAAATTATATTTCTGGATGCGCAGGAATATGTATTCTTGATCTTATAACTCACTTGGTTAGGCCCAATAATGGTGTCAGCAGAGTGAATATGTGGACAAAGCTGGCAACGGGGTTTGTTGCAAGGGAAGGTACCAGGGTTGGTATAAGTGTGGTATGTCCTGTGGCTGTTGGTAAGAATCATCTTGAGGTTTGGTGGTTGTCTATAGGAGACTATGGGTCTGTCTCCCAGGGTATGTCTACACTACCCCACTAGTTCGAACTAGCCGGGTAATGTAGGCATACTGCACTTGCAACAAAC